ATATTGTATTGTCTTTTTTCTTTTTTCAGTTCTATTCTTGTACATAGATGAATGAATGGTACGATATAGAAGTTTTGCTTTGTTTTTATTCTCTTCTCTTGATGTAGTATAGCTGTTATTCATGTCATCGTGTCTTCTTTCACATGTTCTTGCATTTTTTTCTAGGTCGCTCATCTATATAAATTAATAAAATTTGCAGATATAAACAGAGAAAAGTGTAATCGATCATATCTAATGATAATCATTAGAGTTTCGTTTTATTGATAGAAGGGTGGATGTCGATGACAGTAGGCTGATATGCATACCCATACCCACAAAATAGCGATTCAAATAAAATTTCTAGAAAGTAAAATATAATGCTTCTGACCGAAGTAAAAATTCTTCGATTGAATTGTACTTTCGTAGAAAGATTTGTAGAATTCCATTTTAGAATTGGCGCTAATTCAAGCTGTAAAGATTTTTCTTTTTCACGTCATAGTTGTATCGTTTTTTTTTCTGTAACAATGAAAAAACATTCTTCATTTCAACGGTATCAGACCGAAAAAGCGATTATTGATGCCCTGTTAAAAATTTCTGAGATCATTAAAAAAACGACTAATATAAAACAATTTTCAAAGAAAACAACAGGTGATGGTGATAAAAGACCACAAAGATATGAATATGATTATGAACAGATATACGATGGACCAATACCACCTTCTATGCGTACACTCGAGTCCTATGTTTCAGGTTTCAATCAACAATATGCAATGTCTTCATCACAGCGGCCATCGAATTTTAATCGAGCACCTATTCTACTGTGGAATCCACGATCACAAGGTAAACTGTATTGTTCATAGTGACAAGTTTATCATTTCAGATATTTAGATAAACAATACTATTCAGTATCAAAAAAACGTATCAGTAATGATTATCGAGATCGAGAATTGGCTCATAAACGTTATTGCTATAATAGATCATCACCATCAACATCTTCATTATCAGATAATCATTATCGAAGAAAGTCATTAAGACATCATTCAAAACGTAAACTATCTCGATCCAACAAAAGACAACGAATCAATTGCGGATGCCACTCTTCACATGATGATTATGAGTATAGTGCAAGCGATTGTTAATATTTTTATTTTCACCTTTCGATTAATCGAAGTAAAACTTTCGAGATACAAGAAGAATATTTCGTTGTTAACAATTGATGATCGATCAGTGAACTATCAAAGGTTTTACTAAGTTTGTTCAAAAATAGTCGAGAATTAGCATTCGAAGTAATTCCGTAGTGATCTAGGATCAAGTCGATTTACAAAATGCAGGCTTTTTATTATTTGACGTGATCAAAGAAGAATATGAACAGATCTTAATATGGAAGTGTCAAAAAAAAACATATTTCAGCATAAAAAATGAGCCATAACAATCATTGGAAGATTGTAATCACATTAATGTCATATATTTGCTCTCTATCAAGTGTCTTTAGACTGACTATAAACACGACAGCAAATAAAGATTCTAATAATATGATAAAGAATTTTGGCATTAAACATTTATCAATCAAAGGGAAAGTATGCTTGATCGAAGTTAAACAAAAGATTTCGTGAACACTAAACGATCGTAATTGCTCATTTGAACATATCTCGAAGGTTTTTCATATATTCTATAGCAATAAATGTTAGTTGTTTCGAATAATGGCGAAAAAAAAAGTCGTAGTCGCCAGCTGAAATCAAACATTTTTGATACAAATGTAAAGTCATCATGCTTCGGATGTGTGAAATGAATGTCCTAAGCGATCCAAATCGTCGGTTTCGATGTCAAGCTGATTACATGAGATGATAATTCGATTGTCAAAAATGAGCGAGTGCATTCTCTGTGAATAATCTAACTACTGCTGCTCGTTTTGTATAATGTTTTCTCGTTCCTATAGCGCTTTGTCAATACTATTTAATTGTCGTCAAAATCTGTATTCATTCAGTTCGAGATAAAATAAATAAAAGTCTTTTTAATTTGTTTTATTTGTTTGCATAAAACGTCAGAACAATGGAACGCATAAAAAAAACAATTATTTAGGAATAAGAAAATCCTCCAACAGTCATTTCCATTTGTGTTTGTTGATCAGCAAAGGCAATCCAATCCGAATTATAAGTTGGTAATAAACCCATCGATTGACATTTATATAAAGCTAATGCTAAATGTGTTAAATTACCTAAGAAATAGATAATTTTATGAAACCATATATTGCCAGCTAAACCTTCATGTTCTAATGATGAAAATGCTGAACCGAGAGAAAATATAGACTAAAAAAGAAAAAATTTTATTTAAAAATAAAAATAAAATAAAATTATTCACTTGTATTGGTTTCATAAATAACATAACAACAATCATAATTGACATAAGTGAAAATGAATTTCCAGCCATCCATGCAAAAATCATATTCATTGGTAATTGTTTTATTGGTTGTAATGCTATATCCCATGAACGTTTCGCTAACAAATGATCATTATCTTCGTGTGTTACTATATCTGCTACTCTTTGTTCACTATAACCAACAGGTGTTAATAAGAGAGTATCAGTAGCTGCTGCTGTTGTTGTTGTTACAGCATTATCACTACTTGCTGTTGTCGTAGCAGCAACAGCTAAACGTTCATGTTTACGCATTTGTAAATCAATAAACCATTTTCGACGCGAAGGAATTGACCGTGTCGATGTTGTAGTACTACTTGGATATTGATTAGACATCTAAAAAAAATCAAAAAGAAAAACAACCTATCTAAACACGTCTCATTTTCTTTGGTCGTTGTAGTCCAACATGTAATGTTGGAATACTAGTATTATCAGTTATAGTAACAATATCAATTCCAGCTAATTGTAAACCTTTTATTGCCATTAAACGTCCTGGACCAGTACCTTTAACAACAACTCGTACATGTTTCATATTACGTCGTAATAAATTATTTCCCATATGTATTCCAACAGCTTGTGCTGCTGTTGTTGTACCTTTTTTTGCATTATGAAAACCAACAACACCACATGATGTACGAAATATTTGTTGACCTGTACAATCACTAACATCTACTAATGTATTATTACGTGTACATTTCATATGAACAATTGGTAAATCTTCATATTTAACTTGTAGAACTTCAGGATTATTTGCATCACCAATTAATTTTTCGAAATCTGTTTCACGAACTTGACCAGAACCACCATAATATTTATCAACATCAATACTTAATGGTGTTTGAATATTTTCTGGATGTAAATTTATTTCACGTACGGCTCCTTCACGTATATCAGCATGTGAACGTTTGTAATTAATAGATGTTAATGATAAAAAACGAAGAGATTGTTGAAATGTTGATATTGATAAAGGAAAACAGTGTGAGAAAAGACGATTTAGCATCTGAAATCAAAAGAAAAAACAATTCTCGTTGATTTCTAGTACATACGATTCAAAAATAAGATCAGAGGTGTCCGCATGCTCAAGAATATTAGTATTTAAATTGTTAAGAAACTAGTAAAGCAATAAATCATCAGATAGATATAAAAATTCTTAAATCTATGTCAAAAAATCTTCAGTTGTGCATTCTTGAATTCAAAGATTTGAGTACATATATATATGTATAATATTGTATTGTTTAAGTACTGAAATATGTAATGTATTTAATCTCAACAATTAAATAGTGAAAATTTTTCGTAATATTTTGGAAATCGAATTGAAACTGCAGAACTTTACCCAAAGTAGATAAGCTCTAATTCGAAGCGGTCTTTACTACTCCTATATGAGCCATGTAAAATATACATTTTCACTATAGCTGTATCTTGAAATAGGAACAACGACAAGAAATGAAACATACGCAAGAATGTATTTTCGACAAGGACTATGTCTGTGTAAAATTTTAAGTCAAAATTCAAAAATCAATTTCCCTGATAAGATTCTCTATTCGACTTGGGTCACACAAACTAGATTGTTTGTACACAAGATCCATTCCAAATATTCTGTTTAGGAATTCTCTTTGATCGTTCTTAACCATATATATATATATATACAAAGTTTTACTATAAAAAAAAAAAAAATAATTCTTACAGAATCTATTATCTGAATATTAGTCTAAGAAATAAAACAAAAAATGAAAACAATTACGACGAAACTTTGTCTTCTTTATTCATTTCATCATTTGATAATCGTTCATTCTTTTTATTTAATCCTAATTGAAAATAATGTAATTTTTCTTGATATGTATCTGGTGGATAATGAATTTTTGGTGGTGCATATCTAACATCGCGTTCATGTTCATCGTAATTAATTCCATCAATTGAATCTCTTGTCATTTGTGTTTGATTACCTTCTCTTTGTTCAAATTCAATATTTGAATCGATTAAACCACGATAAAAATATTGTAATCGAGGAGATTTTTCATATCTTTGATCATGTGGATGACCAAAATGTATTTTAGTTATTCCACATTGTTCTGCACGTTGTGCTAATATTAATGCAAGATTATAAGCCACAGAACGATCTTTACATGTTGCTAAATGTTTTCGAATAGCCCATTCACGTGTTGATACTTGTACACATACATTTCCTGTATAATAATGATCGATTTGAGCTATCAAATGTCTACCTGATGAAAGAAGTCGTACACGGTGTAAATAATCTTTTGATGGATATTGTAATGGCCAACCAATTGAACGCCATTGTAAATTTTGCCATTCAAGTGTACGTGGATTACGATTAAGAAGACGTGATGAAATAGTATAAGAACTATTTTCTGTTGATGTCGAAAGAAAACGACGAATAATATTCATCTAGAAATATATATATTTATATTTATATATATATCTGATTGCTGAGACAGATAGATGAATATTTTCTGTTGTTTTTTTCTTCGTCTTAAAACAAAATTTATCGATATACAAAACAAAAAAGAAAAAAAGAAAACTTAAATGTGAAATAAAATAAACCAATAGATGAAGAAAAGGATTAATGATGTTTATAAAATATTTTACTGTCATTGATCCTTATTGATAAGTGAATTTGAATCTTTTAAAGGATTTTTTAATAATCGATTACCAACACGAATAAATGGATTATTTAATGGATTAAATTGTGGATCATTAATACGATCTAAATGTTCATTATTATCACCACGTGTTAAATGATATAAAACTGTTAGAATTGTAATAAAAACAAATAAAATTATTAATATTATATAGCATGTATAACGAGTACGAGATATTTGGCTTCGATTATTCATTAAAACACCTTTTCGATTAGTTGGTTGTCGAGAACGTAACCATCGAGCAAACCATGTAAAAATACTACGACGTTTATATTTATCTTCTTCATCGGAATCCATTTGTGGTGGCTAAAATATAATAATCATAGAGATTATAACGAAATTAAATGAAGATCTAGACGAAAATTAACACGCTTCTCACATTGCAACTTTAATAACGATAGATTCAATCAATCAAACATATTTTTTTTTTCGTCTCGTGTATTGATTATAGATTGATATCCTGAAGGTGTCGAAAACGAACCACTTTTTGATAGTCCGACTTGACACAGTCGAACTTATACAGTATGAGAGATAAATAGAATTATTGAGTCGAACAATCAAGAGGCATTCGTGAGTAAAATGTTCATTGATCAATTTCAACGATTACTATTTTTAATTACACAACTAATACTGTTCCACTTCAGTAATACCTATGCCATTCAATGTAATTGATAGTATACTCGGCCTTGTATGTAGATGAGAAATGCCATTGAATGGAATAAATGCACTGATTTTATTTATTGACTAAACCAAACTTTCAAAACGTTCGCATAATAGAGATTCTTGCTTGTGATCTGTTTCAAGATGTAAAACTCACGTAAAATTTTTGATGAGAAATCTCTCTGAATGGCTTATTTTGAGCCCTGATGTCTAGGAGTGCAATTTCTAGTGGCAAAATCTTCTGTCGATCGATCTTCTCTTTCAAGATAAAAAAAACAACATACTGCACTTTACTGTGGTAGATAGACGGTAGTTACATCATTAATCTTCTTAAATCGGAAAAGCTGTATGACTCTGCATAGTCAATGGTGAACTTAGACCAGCTAAATGATACAAAATATTTTTTCAATCTCTATTAAGATTTTTTTTGAATTTGTTTCATAGTTCAATTTCATCTGAATTAAAAGATACTTAAAGAAATAGTTGTGTTTGTTTTCAAAGAAAAATATTGACACAATTACAAATATTTGTTTATCTATTCATAACACAAAAAAAGTTCACTGCAAGAAGAATAAAAAAACTTTTCGAATGAACTAATTCGATGTTATATGTCTTTATTCGAACTCATATTTTATGAAGAAGACATTTAATCGTTATTTCTATGAAACCTTAAAAAAATACAATGAACATAAAATAGAACCATGATTAGTCTCACAAAGTTCGTATTAATTTAGCTTCCTATAATAGCTCTTATTCACATCGTATCATATAAGATATAAAAACTGAGTACTAAGACAGAAACTGATCTATAAAATGAATCCATAAGTTTCAACAAAATACATACTCGTGTTGTTAATATTGTTGTTCCTTGTGGCATATCAATAGAACGATGTGGATGATGTGATAATCCACTGGTAGTTCCTATATGTCCACCACTAGTTCCACTAATTTTTGGATTAACAATAACATAACCATTATTGTCAGTTTCAGTTAATAATGGTTGTTTATCTTGATTTAATTTTGAATCATTTACTGATAATATTGGTAATCTATTTGCCCAATTAACTGTCGATAATTTAGTTCGTACATGATCAGCAACAGGTGAAACAAGATTTGATGGTGGAAAAACACATGTATGACATGTTGGGCATGTATATCCATCAGGTGCTGTATGATTTGGAAATGAATGAAAATATTCATTAAGACATGACCAATGAAATAAATCATAACAAATAAGACGTATAGTTTCTTCACCAGTTTCAGTTAATGATCGTTGACATAAGGCACAATTTGGATTATAATCATTATCTTGCAACCAAGATACATATGAACGTACAATACATTGAGAATGTTCATTAATAAGACATGATTCACAAACATTCACATGATGTTTAAAACAGAATAAAGTAGACACTTTGCGTTGTGGACATTTGCAAAGGCCCATTATTTAGTTGAAGAAAAAAGAAAAAAAAAGATGCCTAATTTAGAACCTACTTGATTGATGCGTTGTTGTTGGATTGAAATAGGTATTTATTGGATTGATATTAAACCAATTAGAATATTCGATAGAAAATTTTAAGAAAAAAAAAAATATTTATCAAAGTTATTAAATTTTATTTTTAAAAGAGGTTTTAATTTTAAAAAAAGCCATCCAATCATATCAAATCATCAATAATAGTCAATGACTCATCATATGTAGTAACAACGATAAAATTTATACGTCGATCTATCTATCTACGATTGGTCTTAGTTCTTCAATAAATTATCAACGTTTTTAAATTTCAAACGTTGTTCAAGAAGGCAAAATTCAAATGGCATTCGAAGTAACTCGTTTTTGGTTAAAAGAAGTGTGCATTAAACGTTGGTATATAATTCCATTTATTACTTATTCAATATTCGTTCATAAACATGAAAATCTTCGACAAGATTATTTTCGTAATCGTAGTCAATTAGTTGGTGGAATGAAAGAACCCAATTGGTAAAAAAATATATAGAACATTTTTTTTCCCCATTGTCCTTTGTTTTTCATCCTCATAGATCGAAGATTTGTATACTTTACTTTTTTTTTAAACAAATAGATGTACTCATACAAAAAAAGAAAATGATATAATAACGATTTATTTTATCAATCATAATTGAATAGGACTTGGAAATCTGAAGTAAAATACAATATTAAATAATTAATCAATAAAGACAATATGATAACTGTTCGCATGTTGTAATGAAAAATATTTAAAAAATCACACATAGATAATAACAAAAATGTATACATATTCATCTGATTAACAAGAAAAGGTCACGAGATGATTAAAAACTTCAGAGTCCATATTGTACTCAGTCGCAGGCGATGGATAGACTAGAATACTTTTCAAAAAAAGGTTCATACTAACGTCAAGATTCGATCCATGTTTCAGACACGAGATCAATAACTTCTGTAACATTGTATCTAAAATAGTTTTCTAAATTAATTTTTAGCATCATATGCATATAAGAAATAAAAAGAACGATAAAATGAAAATAGTTATTATTGTTCTTGTTCATTCATGTTAATACATTCGATAAGAACTTACGAAGACAGTACTAATGTTTTTAAAACCATTTAAAAATGACTTTTCACTATAGCAAATATTTTCATGTTTTTTTTTCTATTTTACCTTGCATTCTATTGACTAAAAAAGAAGACTGTGAAAAATCGATTTTCTATTAACAGTTGTAAAAATATAAACTTTTAACGATGTCTAAAATATGCAATCCTTTTAATTCTTCAAGAATATACATCGTATTGAGCTCATAAATCACGGAACAAAAACTTACGTACAAAATCATACTTGGCATTCATCTGACTTAAACTTTGTTTCTAATTTCTGCTATATAACTCCTCAAAATTTTTATCCCATTTCAAAGCATTACAGCAAACACATAGCTAAGATATGAAAGTGTTCTCTATTTTATCTTCGTAAATTTTATTTTGGATATATATTTCAAAGCACATACTTTGCTCTATTTGTGAATGAAAAAGTTATACTTCTAACATTTTCCGTTCGAATACAATAGACCTCTACAGGCATGCGGATTTTAATACATTCCAAGTTATGTATAAGAAAAAAGATTGGAAGTCAAAAATAAGAAGCGAAGTTTTTTTCTAGTAAAGTGCAAAACGCAATCTAAAAGGAGTATTGAAGGATAAAGATAAAAATTTGGACTGTCCTCTCACCCATCAAACCGTATATCAATAACATTTTGTTTCTACTTCTGTATTGTATTTCTGAAGGACTAAGTAAAAGAATAATGATGAAATATGTCTCAAAATAAATAGAACAAAACAAGTTCCATATGATTAGCAAAAGTAACTTCTTTGTATTTCCTATTTTAATCCTTTAGAGATTGTGCTAACAGCTTCTTTCAAAATTACAAGAATGATGGATACTTTGCTTTTGCTTGAAATACTTGATGTTAAAAATGCTGGAATGGAAGAAGTAAAAAAAATGTTTTCTTTTTTGACAATGCGATATTGGACAATCTGGGCCTCGATTGGTTTTGAGTTTTTAATTAGTAGTTACAAAAGTGAGTTTATTGTTCAATCGAATTAAGAGGTGAATATAAGATATTTGACATAATTTTTACGTTGAGCAGTTGAACGTTTCGTCTTTTCTTGCTCTGTTTATTACATGTCAAATTATATTTTTAATGGAAGATTAAAAAATAATCAAGGATATACTGTCGAATGATTCTATCGTTCAATATCTAAGCTTGTCAAAGATGTATAATATGTATTGGACTTAAATATATAATTTCAAACTGATTAATTGCATTATATATTCGGTCAATTTTCATCGAAAATTAAGATTAACTTCTTTAATTATAATAAAATGATTAATATTAAAATGTTTTTGAAGTTCATCAATAACTTCGAAACTATCTGCCTTGGCATCTGTCATTAAATTTACAAAAATAGTTGAATTTAAATATTACAGACTTTTGTTAAGATGTCAATAATTATTTATGTTTGAATCTCGATTTTATTAACTTACGGCTTCGATATTTGTTTCAATTTTTTCTGAAAGTCTACCGAATATGTGAGAACAAAAGCCAAATGTTTCAATTGCACCATGTAGTACTTTTATATATCATTACTTCATATTTATTGACAAGTTTTATTGTTCAAATCGAAATTTACTGTCGATGTCAATCGACTTAAAATACACATTTAAAATTGATTTAAAAAAATATTATATTGAATCAATTTGAAGAATGGTGATAAATATCTCCATAAATTGAGTTTCGACGATTTCAAAAAAAACACATACTGATAGAAATCAAAAAGAAATAATCAATAACAATAAATTTTACTGCATTTTACTCTTACAACAAAATATGAATGTTTCCATGTAGAAAAACTTAAAAAGATCATTACAATTCTGAAAAAATTTTCATCATTTTGTCTGGTGTATGTATTAGATACTTTCTATGGATTTAAATTCTGTAATAATCTCATGACATCAGTCATTTTGCATCATAAAATATTGAATGGATGCATAGAGCTGGACAAGTAGAAGTACGTACTCGTACTTAAACATAAATGTATGAAAACAGTTTTTCATTTCAATGAAATTTTGATAAAAAGTTAGAAAATTTACTAAAATTCATAAGATTTCTACATAATTTAATCGAATAGATTTGGAGTTTTGTTGATTTAACTTTGAGATGGAAGAAGGTGACCACTTAAATCGTGTCTTGAACTATAAATTGAAAGTCTATGTCAGAATCAAAATTATATAGGAAAGAACCACTATTTTCGTGCATTTTATTTGAATGTTTAGATCGATATTTGTTGCTGTTGTTGCGTTATTGAGCTTACGCTCGTTCTTCTTTCATTCTAATGCAGACATCATTTATTTAAAACATTTGAATTCATGTTCAATAATTCAAAGGCATGATTGAATCTCTGAAACATTGATTTATTAGCTTCATTGCAGAATTGAAATAGAGTACTCATTGACTTCTAGTTCGGAATTTTTTCTTTATATGATCACATTAGTAAAGTTCGTTTGGATTTTCTCTTGTTATTATCTTTAGTGAGAACTGAATAATGTCTCTGGATCACTCAACATACATTTTTCTTATTATATAACAGTCGAGTGAAATCAAGGGAGTAGGTTTTTTCAGTGTTCTTCCTATGAAGAAAAAGTCTTTTAATAGATCTTTGTCATCAACAATAAAAGAATATATTGGCTTAATTGAACAAAAGTACAGATATTTTATCTTTTTTTGATCATTTAGTTATTAATAACACAACCTTTATACTAAAGGTCATCAATACTTTTTTTCTGCTTGTATTACAATTACGAACTTGTTCTTCATGAGTAACTCTTCGATCAATATCATGCCTAGGTGAATGACCTTTTCGCTTTTTTTCGATTGAGTTATTTCTTTTTTTTTAGCATGTTGTGTGTTACCTTTCATAATTGTCTCTATATAGGAATGTATTTCTCTAATATTAAAACTTATTTTCTTTGCTTGATTTAAGATCAGAAGCAGTTTTCTCTTGAATGTCACGTACTACACCTATATTTGTTTTTTTAATGACTTTATTACATTTTCATGAAGTTTGAATGGATAAAACAATCTATGATCACCATACAGAAGATGATATCAAATAAATTGTTAGATATATTTATTTAGAATATTAAAATTAATTTTTTTTTTATTTTATCTTTACAAATATTCTATTTTGAAAAAACATAAAAGAAAATATTTCAAGAATAAAATTTTAATAGTTATGTATTGGTTGATTTAATCTACCAACTAGGTTTTTTTCCACCGTACCCAATTATTTGCTTCGATCAACGTCTTATTTGTTTGCTGCAAGTAGTTTTTCCTTCTCTTTTTCTCTTCGTTTGCGCTACAGAAATATATAATATAACCGATTCAATTATTTTATTCGTAAGAATCTAGAGGAAAAGGAAAGAAAATATTTATTTGATATAACTATGCTTTTCATTTTATTATTTTTGAACTATAAGATATATTCAATTTAATGCTATCTTTATAATATAACAGGCGATAATTATATACTTGTCAAGTAGTGATTTTATTACGAAGAATAGATAAAAAAAAGACAACTTTACAGTATATCATATCATTCTTATCTTTTTTTGTTTCTTTCTAGATTTATTATTCTTTTATTATTGTTTATTGTCTTATTCTTTATTCATTCTTCATCTATCATACGAGAAATTCTATTGACATCGATCATCATGAATTAAATCCAGTGAGACTTGTCACAAATGTATCGAAATAGGTTTGAGAAAAATAATAAAAAAATTTGTTTGGTATTTTACTTTATTTATTTATTTATTTATTTTTTCATATAGAAGTACAACAGATCCTGTTCCTAAACAATCATTAATAGCAAATATTTCATCAAATATTCCTTTAATGGCT